GCCGCGACCCTCTTTTGCACCCGCGCTCCCGGCCCGCGCCCTGCCAGCGCCAGGACCCTTCCGACGCCTTCCGCCGAGGAGGAGATGGCAATTCCTTCAACTCTCGAAAGCGAGGGCTCTCTGCAGCGCTTCGTCCGGAGGCGATCCACGCGTGGTCCACGCCCCTGCCCCATGAGGAGCCAGAGCGGGGGCGTGGATGAGTTTCTGGCTTCGGGGGCATGGAGCAGTGACACGCGCGCTGGGTGACCCATCGTCGTCCTACTGGTGCAGAATCACCCGGCTCCGCCCGGGCAGCTGGAGCTGCACGCTCGGCGCATCTTTTCCGGGCGTCTGGGCGCCCGAAGAAGTGCCACCTCTCCTCGGGATCCTGCCCTCCGACGGGCATGGACATCTATGGCCTAGGGGCAGTTCTCCTGTCCGAGGTGCAAAAACTGATGGGAGGGTGGCGCGTGCGACCTCTTCGTCGGGCTCCCGATGCCCATAGGTGTCCGAGGTGACAACGAAAACCGCCGAGCCGGCAACAGAGCCGTAGCCGACCGAATCGGGCACGCCGAAGCCAGCTAAGTAGTCGCATCATGTGGCATGGAGGGCCCCGAGCAGTGGCGACGCGTCTCGGATTGCCTATAGGCCCACGAAAGAATGTTCTAAGAACCTGTTTGGACATATTCTTAAAACATTTCTTGTCGGGCTTATGCTCTAAGAAAATGGTGTTTGTTCTTAGTACATGTTTGGATTCTAAGAGAATTTCGTGGTAGGCCTCTAGGAATTCTGGGACGGTCGGTCCCTGCTCAATTGACGGCCTCCTAAACCCGGGAAGGGCCCAAGGAGGGCAAAAACGGCGAAAGACCTCACGACCGTCGAGAACGTTTCAGTTTTCGGCGACAGCCCAGGTTATCCGGCGGGGGGGGGAGGGGAGGAGATACCGGCCGATAACCGCATTTTCCCGGAAAGGGCCTGGGCCCAGGGTTCTCTTTTAGTAGGTAAACCTAGTCCCCCGGTGCCTGCTTGAGGGAGGCCGGCGAATTTTTTCCCTGATAAATAACGAGGTCGAAGGAGGCCGGCGAATTAAAATTTGAGGATGTCTCGAGCGAAACGCTTGTTTTTCAGAATTTGTTGAGGATGTCTCGAGCGAGACGCTGGTTGTGCAGAGTTGGGGATGTCTCGAGCGAAACGCTTGGTTTCAGAATTTGTTGAGGATGTCTCGAGCGACACGCTGGTTTTGCAGAGCCGACCGCGACACGGAAAAGCGCCCCTCGCGCAGGAATTCCAAGGATGTCTCCGACTATTCCTTTGTGATAACTTGTACGATTGTCCTAATTTTGGCAGGGTCTTCGAGCGAAATGCACGACCCCACCCTAGCACGACCATACCCCAGCACGACCACACCCCAGCACGACCACACCCCAGCACGACCCCACCCCAGCACGACCACACCCCATCACGACCACACCCCAGCACGACCCCGCCCCAGCACGACCCCACCACAGCAAGACCACGCCCCAGCACGACCACACCCCAGCACGACCGCACCCCAGCACGACCCCACCCGAGCACGACCACGCCCCAGCACGACCACGCCCCAGCACGACCACGACCCCAGCACGACCGCACCCCAGCACGACACCCCCACAGCACGAACCACCCCCACAGCACACCACCGCCCCAGCACACCACACCCCATGCACGAACCACTCCCCAATTGCGACGACCACACCCCAGCACGACCACACCCACACGACCACACCCCAGCACGACCCGATCGATAAATCACAGGGTGCGGAGCACCCCAGCACGAACCCACCCTCAGCACGGACCCCACCCCCACACGACCCACCCCACGCACGACCCACGCCCAGCATGACACACAACCACCAGCACGACCACACCCAGCACGACCACTCCCCACACGACGCCCACCCCACACGACCCCACCCTACACGACCACACCCCAGCACGACACACCCCAGCGCGACCCCACCCACACGATCAGGACCCCCAGCACGACACCCACCCCAGCAAGACCACATCCCCCAGCTACTCGACCCCACCCCAGCAAGACCACGCCCCAGCACGACCCCACCCCAGCACGACCTGACCACAGCACGACCACACCCCAGCACGACCACGCCCCAGCACGACCACGCCCCAGCACGACCACTCCCCAGCACGACCACACCCCAGCTCGACCACCCCCCCCAGCACGACCACACCCCAGCACGACCCCACCCCCCAGCACTACCACAACCCCAGCACGACCACTCCCCAGCACGACCAACAACAGCCTTGGTTGAGTGGTTGCCTGTCGTCGTGGAATGTTTCGTGGGTGTCTCGTGGAATGTTTCGAGGGGTGTCTCGTGGAATGTTTCGTGAGGTGTCTCGCGGAATGTTTCGTGAGGTGTCTCGTGGGATGTTTCGTGAGGTGTCTCGTGGGATGTTTCGTGAGGTGTTGCCCAGTTGGGTCTCGTGAAAACGTGCCCATGCTCCACATGTCTATATCCCTTTCCGGGTTCGTGGCGGTCATCATGTTTGCTGGGTACTCCCGTACGCCCGGCGCGCACCTGTACTCTGCGTGCCCCCTCGGACCTGCGCACCCACAAGTCAGGTTATCGAGCGGCGGAGGCGGGGGGGCTGCGAACCATCCTCTCCTCTCCATTTTTCTGCTGGTGGACCAATCCATCGCCCAGCAGGCCCTAGGGGGAGGGACAAACCCAATCTCCGACCTCGTGAATTTTTGCATACGTCGACCAGCCCGAGGTTTTAGCCCCTTCCCTGGACTGCTTCATCTGAGTTATTTTTGGTACAGTCATGGGGCGGGCAAGGGCCTTCTTCGTGGCTCAACGCCAAAGCGCCGCTGCCGTTTTTTCCCGGAAAGGGCATGAGCCCAGGGTTCTCTTTTAGTGGTAAACCTGTCCCCCGGTGCCAACTTGAGGGAGGCCGGCGAATTTTTTCCCTGATAAATAACGAGGTCGAAGGAGGCCGGCGAATTAAAATTTGAGGATGTCTCGAGCGAAACGCTTGTTTTTGAAATCCCGATCGATAAATCACAGGGTGCGGGCCACTTTTTCGTGTGTTGAGGATGTCTCGAGCGAAACGCTTGCTCCGCAGAGTTTGCCGAGGATGTCTCGAGCGAAACGCTTGTTTTGCAGAGCCGACCGCGACGCGGAAAAGCGCCCCGCGCGAAGGAATTTCGATGATGTTTCGACTAATTTGTTTGTTTTTGTACGATTTCCTGGAATTTTGGCAGGATGTCTCGAGCGAAATGCACGACCCCACCCTAGCACGACCATACCCCAGCACGACCACACCCCAGCACGACCAGACCCCAGCACGACCCCACCCCAGCACGACCCCACCCCAGCACGACCATACCCCAGCACGACCACACCCCAGCACGACCCGACCCCAGCACGACCCTACCCCAGCAAGACCACACCCCAGCACGACCACACCCCAGCACGACCTCACCACAGCACGACCACGCCCCAGCACGACCACGCCCCACGCCCCAGCACGACCACGCCCCAGCACGACCACGCCCCAGCACGACCACCCCCCAGCACGACCACCCCCCCAGCACGACCACCCCCCAGCACGACCACCCCCCAGCACGACCACACCCCAGCACGACCACACCCCAGCACGACCACACCCAGTCGCACCCCCGTGGAATGTTTCGTGGCGTGTCTGGTTGAGTGGTTGCCTGTTCGTGGGGTGTCTCGTGGAATGTTTCACGGGGTGTCTCGTGGAATGTTTCGTGAGGTGTCTCGTGGAATGTTTCGTGAGGTGTCTCGTGGGATGTTTCGCGGGTGGCACGACCACGCCCCAGCACAGACCACGCCCCAGCACGACCACCCCCCAGCACGACCACCCCCCCAGCACGACCACCCCCCATCACGACCACCCCCCAGCACGACCCACACCCCAGCACGACCACTCCCCAGCACGACCACACCCCCAGCACGACCACACCCCAGCACGACCACACCCAGTCGCACCCCACGTGGAATGTTTCGTGGGGTGTCTGGTTGAGTGGTTGCCTGTTCGTGGGGTGTCTCGTGGAATGTTTCACGGGGTGTCTCGTGGAATGTTTCGTGAGGTGTCTCGTGGAATGTTTCGTGAGGTGTCTCGTGGGATGTTTCGCGGGGTGTCTCGTGGGATGTTTCGTGAGATGTCGCCCAGTTGGGTATCGTGAAAACGTGACCATGCTGCACATGTCTTTATCCCTTTCCGGGTTCGTGGGTCCATCATGTTTCATCATGTGTGGGAGTCACCCGCAGGGACGCGAGGATGAGCCTCGCCTCGTGCTTCGCCGTGCCAGGGAGTTGCTCTCCTCCAAGGGTGGGGGGGGCGTTGTCAGGCGATCGCAAAAATGGATCAAGGGGGCGTGGATTAGCGACGGGTTCCGTTTCCATGGGAAACCGCGGATTTCCGCCGTCGACCGAGGCGGCACCGGCCGCATTTTGGGAGGGCACCTCCCCCGAACCATGTTTGCGTGCCCCCGAGAGTTGGGGGCGGCGCAAGAGCGCGTGCGCGAAGGCAGCCACGCCTCGCCACGCGCGAGGCGCACAGCTCGGGCGGCGGCCCAGGCACAGGGGGAGTGCTAGTGTTAAGTCGGGCGTGTCCCTCTACAGGAGGGATGTTCAGTTTTAGTCAAAAACCAATCAAAAATAGTCTGGGGACGATTTTTCCCGGAAAGGGCGTAGGCCCAGGGTTCTCTTTTAGCTGTTTACCCCCGGGTCTGACGGGAAGAGGGCCGGCAGATTTCTTTCGCGATAAATAACGAGTGGGAAGAGGGCCGGCGAATTAAATGTTGAGGATGTCCCGAGCGAAACGCTTGTTTTTCAGAATTTGTTGAGGATGTCTCGAGCGAAACGCTTGTTTTGTGTTATAGATTGTCCTCTCCTTGGGACCAGAATTTAGAGGATCTCTCAAGTGACATGCTTGGTTTCACGTGCCCAGGTCTTGAGGATGTCTCGAGCGAGACGCTTGGTTTCACGCCT